CTCTGTTCCAAGGGCAGTGTTTGATATCCCGGTGAATGTCTGAGACTTGGGGACTGGAGCCACATGCAAACACTGACCATTCCAAATCAGTTTTCATCATCCCATGGTCTCCAGTCTCATTTTGGCAGCTTTCTACATGGGCTAGTACAGGGGTGGCCAAACTTGCTTAACTTAAGAGCCACATAGAATAAGCGTCACATGTATGAGAGCTGCAAGACATGAATAAATATTACATGTTTTTATTGGAAAACATGAAGATTTCCTTTTTATTAACATTAAATGAGACTGCTAAAATAAAAACAAAAGGGGTAAAAACAGATATTGATAATGATATTGTGCTGCTCCAGTCAGCATTTAACTGTAGCTAAGTAGAACTGTCATATATCTTTAAGAGCAGTTTGCCCCTGGGAATTGTAGTCTTTAGTTAGGCATCCCAATGCATCCCTGACTGGCTGATTAACAGTCATTTCCTCCTCACAGAGGCGGGAGGATTCTGAGTTTACGGCTCTCTTCCCCTTCTCTCTTCCCCTTTTCCTTTGTTCTCTTCAAACGACAAGGAGTTGGGACACGCAATCCTTTTCACCATGAGCCAGTGAACAGAATTAGATTACAAAAGATGTGAGTAAGAACTCTTCTGAATGCATGTGGAACTGAATAAAAATGATTGAATTCTACTTTGGCCGTGCGTTGAATCTGTCCAGAAGGAGCTGTTGACTCAGCGTCAGACGGAACAGATATTTATTTGTCCAATGGTATTTGTTTGCTAGTGATATTTATTTGTCTAAGTCAGAAAAAAAGAGAAAGAGGTAGAAAGAATGAAAGGTGGTGAGAGAGAGCGTAACAAAGAAAGCAAATAGATGGGGGAGGGGAAGGAAGGAAGAGCGAAAGGAAGGGAAGGAGAAAGAGAGAAAAAGAGAAAGAAAGGTGGAAAGAAAGCAAATAGATGGAGGGAGGGGAGAGAGAGAAACAAAGAAAGTAAATAGATGGAGAGAAAGTGGGAGAAATGAACGAAGAGAGAAAGAGAGAGAGAAAGAAACAAAGAAAGCAAATAGGGAGAGGGAGGGAGGATGGAAGGAAGGAAGAGAGAAAGAGAAAGGTGGAAAGAATGGAAGAGGTGGAAAGAAAGGAGAGAGAAACAGAAACAAAGCAAATAGATGGGGGAGGGAGGGGAGGACGGAAGGAGAAAGAGAGAGAAAGAAAAGTGGAAAGAAAGGGGTGGGGGGAAAAGCAAATAGATGGGGAGGGCGGGAGGGCGAAAACAAGTAACTTTAACTTTAAATGTGTTCTTCAACCCCCTCCCCCACACTCCCATGCCAGCCATCTTGGCTTGGAAAAGGAATTTAAAGAGACAAATGCTTTCTCCAAGCTGGCAGATGGGGCCGCTGGGCAGGGGCTTGGAGGATACCTTTAACTTTAAATGTGTTCTCCGAGCCCACCGCCCTTGCTGCCGCATCAGCTTGGCTTGGAGAAAGGATTTAAAGAGACAAATGCTTTCTCCAAGCTGGCAGATGGGGCCGCTGGGCAGGGGCTTGGAGGATACCTTTAACTTTAAATGTGTTCTCCGAGCCCACCGCCCTTGCTGCCGCATCAGCTTGGCTTGGAGAAAGGATTTAAAGAGACAAATGCCTTCTCCTAGCCAAGCCAGCGGGCTGGTATGTCGAGGCTTGGAGAACACATTTAACTTTAGATGGGGAGGGAGGGGAGAGAGAGAGAGAAAGAAAGAAAAGTGCAAAGAAAGAAAGTGGAAAGAAAGCAAATAGATGGGGGGAGGGAGAGGTGGAATGAAAACAACTTCAACTTTAAATGCATCCTCCAAGCCCCCTCCCCCCCCACCTTCATGCCAGCTGGCTTGGTTCTGAGAAGGAATTTAAAGAGACAAATGTTTTCTCCAAGCCAGCTGGTGGGGTGGTGGTTTGAGAATGCATTTAAAGTTAAAGTTGCGCCCCGGTCACACGGCAAAGTTGCCGCGGGAGAGGCACGGATGGTGGGCGGATTATCCGGGCGTGATCACACCCCAACATCTGGGAAGTGGAGTGCACCTGTGGTTTACCGCAGAAAATGTGCATAAAAAAAACTAGTACCTCCAAGGTACTAGTAAACATTTGCCACGGGCTGCCTCCAGACGCCCGTGGTGTGATCGTGCCGGTGCACGGCATTCCCCTCTGGTCCCTCGTTTACCCACCAGCACCGAGGGAAGGACCCATGCTGTGCCGCCGGCGCGTCTGATTGTGTAATCGCGGATCAAACTGCGTCAGGGCAATTAGCCATGCCTCCCCCCCGCGATATCCAGCCCGTGTGACCAGGGCCTTGCTTTCTTTCTCTGCTCCCCCCCCCCCCCAAGCCTACCCAGGGAAAGGAACACTGGCTGGGGAAAGGAAGGCCGATCAGGGAGGCATGCCTCCCCTTCGGTTCTCCAGCTGCCCTGCCGGGAGCTACACAATATGCATGAAAGAGCCGCATGCAGCTCCCGAGCTGCCCGTCTTGAAACCAAAACTCTGAAAGCAGGGATTCTGTTCAGCATAATACAACTAAATCAGTAAAATCTGGTGCCATCTGTACAGCCAAAGAAAAATAGCAAATTTAAGCCTATTTGTTATGGAATACTTCCAGGGCATTAAGCAGTGGCAACTGTACTGGTTGTCCACACAGTTTGCTATAGATTTACAGTAAGTAGTGATGATACGTGATGCAAACAGATGTGTGGTGGAAAAATTTCCCAGTGCTTAATTTTTCTGTGGAAAACTTTGCCATTTAAAAATCCATTGTTTTATGAAACTAGTAAGAATGAATGGATGCCATCACCAAAATAATATTGGTTATTCTTGGCAGTCTCAAAGTTGCTATATTTTTCAGGTAATTATCCCAAGCAGTTGTGTGATTGAGTGCATTGATGTTGATTCATAGATTGGAGCAAGATAAAACCACAAATACACATAGTAATCCAAGTTAAAAATTGAGTTATAGACCCACCTGACTGACTTTGTAGATCAAATCAAAGCCCAAGATGGAGTTCTTATTTAAATGTCTCATCTCACATGGTGGAAAAGAGATGAGTAGTGTAAGTGAGGGTACTGAGAACAACAGTGAAACTGACATGGCCCAGCGACCTCCATGGAAGAGAGTTAAATTCTGTTAAACCAGATGCTTGTACAACAACAAAGGTACAGCGCACAGTAAAAAGTGACACAAAAGTAGCAAAACAAGCAACACAACTGTGTGCTGTGTTTCCCACAACATATTCATAAAGGAGACTTCATTTGAAGTGTAATATATCTATTATAAAAAGTCAATGTGTCCATCATAGGAAAATACAGAGGTCACATAATAAATATACATAATTATATATAGAAAGTCCAACACTTTTTCCAGGTAATTTTTCAGTGTTTCAGGCCTCTGATCCTTCCTCAGGAACAAAGACCCACTGCTGAGAATCCCTTTTCAGTTCCTTATGAGGTAATGCTTTTCTATTATTTCAGTGTTGGGCCTTGCCCAACTAAGTTTTGAACTTATCTGGGAAAAGTGTTGGACTTTCTATATATAATTATATATATAGACAGGAGGGCCTGGCGGGAGCTGGTCCATGGGGTCGCGAAGAGTCGGACTCTACTGTGCGACTTAGCAACAACAAAATATTTACTCTTTGGCCTCTGTATTTTCCTGTGATGGATTGTATGGGCACATTGACTTCATGAAATAGATATATCACACTTCGAATGAAGTCTCCTTTATGAATATGTTGCAGGAAACATAGCACACAGTTGTTTTGCTAGTTTTGTGAAACAGATGAGTGGACAGCCACATCCATGGCATACCATGCACAGTTCTTTGTGTGTGCTAAAATTAGTATTAACAGTTCTCAGTGCTTAAGTTTTTTATAATTTAAACAATGTAAAGGGAGTATGTAATACTGTATTATGTTTAAATTTTTCCAAGTATTATTCCACTGAAAATAATTTAGAAATAAATTGTTGAATTACACTAACATTTAAACAATACTTGATTTACTTATTTTCTAATAAAAATTTTAAGTTCAAGTATTTGTTGTTGTTGGGACATAAAGATAACTAAGGCCCCGGTCACACGTAGCATTAGGCACGCTAGAGAGACGGAAGATAGGCGGATTTTCCGGGCGCGATCTCACCGCCACATCTGGGAAGCGTGGCGCACCCGAGGCTTCCCGCCGAAGATGCGGGGTAAAAAAAACTATTACCTTGGAGGTACTAGTTTCTGGAAACCGTGGGGCAAGGGCGGGCGTCTGATCGCATTTCCAGTGGTAGTTCCGGCGCCCGCCCATGTCCCCTCGCAAAAAGGTTTTTTCCCCCCAAGTCTCCACAGATGTGCACAAGCACCCAACAGAGCATGCGCACATTTCAGTTTAAAAACACACACAACCCCATTTGCCGCGCCACTCTGCTTCTTTGCCGCGTCGTGTGATCAGCACCTCCCCCCTAACCTGGAGAGCTCAACGGGACCTCAACCCGACACCTAATCGCGCAGTCGTGCGTTAGTTTGCTCTGGGGCAAACAGCCACGCCTCCCCCCCGCATTTTCCTGCCCGTGTGGTCGAGGCCATAGGATGGTTTAATTTTGTTTATTAAATATGTCAAAATAAAGATGTTAAATTGGGTCATGCTCTGTTTTAGGCATCAGAATTGTTAAGGAAAATCCACATTCCTTGGTGCAAAATATTTCAGTGTATATGACATTATTTTAAGGCTTAATATTTTGGTTGTGCTTTTCCTTACTGCTCCAAATGCTAAACTTAAATTTTTGCATTCCTTAAACAGAATTATGAGGTAGACCACCTAGTGAACTCCTAGTTGAACTAAGTTTTGAACTGTAGATTTGCTCTGTGCATTACGTATAGCACTGTGCCAATCCCTAAATGAAACTATTAATCAAGTTTTGCATATTGTTTGAATACTGTATTTGCCATTCCTATTAGTCTTAAATAAAAACAATATGATAAGTTTTGCAAACACTCTCATATCTTTATGCCAGGTCTTGGAACAGTTGCGTCGCTATCTCTGTGAGAAAATAATTGCAGAAAGGCACTTTGATTATCTGCGTTCAAAGAAAATACTCAGTCGAGAGGACACTGAAGAAATCTCTTGCCGAGCCTCAAGCAGGAAAAAGGCTGGGAAGCTGCTGGATTACTTAGCAGAACATCCAAAAGGACTAGATGCTTTGATAGAATCTATTAGATTAGAAAGAACACAGAATTTCCTATTACAAAAGATAACTGATGCCATCCTGAAAGCAAAAAATGAAAAACTCGAAGGTCTTAAAGGTAATAACTCAGAATTACTTATTTATTCCAAAAGCCTTTGTACAAATTAGTGAACTTGCAGCTGCATTTATTGCAGAAATAAGCCCCAGTAAATTCAGGTAAGTGAATTGGATTACAGCCAAATTTTGCCTTCAGTTGCAATGATTTTAGTATTTCCTATGCATAGGGTTAAAAAATGGAGGATGCTAGGTAGTGACCAAGTGCTAAATTCCTAGGTGTCTAGGTACTTTGAAAACTATTTTAAAGATGTGCATGTGTGTTTCTAGGGGTGCATGTGTGTTTCTAGGGGGCAAAATGTTCAAGAGTTGAAGAGCTCTCCTATGACTGAACCTGCTCGAATATCTGGACAGCCTTTTGGGATTACGTTAAACACATTAATTTGTCTTGGATGACAGAAATCTTGGCACAAATTGCTTTCTACTAGTTGAACAAGTATTGACATTGATGATAGAATATCATTGCTGTTTACATTGCATATATATCATGAGATTTTCTCAGCTGAAGCAAAATGTAAAAAAATCTGCTGTATGCATCTACTCTCCAAATCATAGGTGCAATAGCAAGATGGGTTTTTTTTTTAAAGCCTACTTCATTATGTCCATGAATGTGGGTACTTCATCTGTAAGTTAAACCTTCATTTACTATGTCAGTGCTTAAAAGGGTGCATAAGCTTTAAAAAAATGTGCATACTACTTCCTCATACAAAAAGATCAGACAAGAAGCTGAACAGTAAATTGCCATTGATCTAAAGGCTTGTGCATGCTAGATTTTTCATTATTTTTCCTTGTAGAACACCCACATTTCAAATACAAAGATAGGTGAGTTGGGCAGGAGATTGAGTTCTGAAACACAGATGACATTATTTATTTCAACAGTTAATGTGTACTGCTTGGTCCCATGCTTGTTTACTCCAGGTAAGTCTGCTTAGGACTGTGATATCACTTGCTTTTTATCACTTACAAAAAAGCAAGTGATTGTTCTCCAGTTCATTGGATCAATAGAAGTTGTACTTGAGAAAATACATTTTTCCAGTTAATACGATTAAGATAGAAAATTTTCTCCTCTTGAAGTGACAGCCTAAACAAAGTGGTATTCACATTTGATACCACTTCAATAGCCACCACATCAATTTTAAATTAGGTCATAAATGCTAAAAGCTGCCATGATTTCATACATTTAATGATTTTGACAACAAATCTTCTGCCCCATAACTTCACTTACATTCATCTTCTTAAAAAAAAAGTGGTGCAGAGGTTAGTGTCAGACTAGAATATGGGAGACCCTAGAATATGGGAGACTCACACGGCCACTGCCTCACACTGCCATTGGGTGGTTTAGGGCCTGTCACTCTCTTAGGTTAACCTACTTTACAGGATTGTTGTGAGGATAAAATGGAGGAGGTGAGAAAGATGCTGTAAACTGCTTTGGGTTCCTATTGTAGAGAAAAAAGGATATAAATATCTAAATAAATACTTAGGGGGGCTGTCATAGTTCCCCTGCTTTGTGTGGTTGCTTTCTCTTCCAGTGTGCAAGGTAAGCAGCAGTAGTGAACTAGCCCCACCCTTCGTCCCCAGCAAGCAGACCCCCGATTGGGCCAGCTTGCTGGGCCATGTGGCCAGTGTGCTCGTATTTACTATGAAGGGTTGCATGTGTACAGCCAACACACACAATTAGATTTGATACAGTTTCAAGTTTTTAAGGTTTAATAGGAACTTAAATTCTAGTTTGTATCCAAAGCTAGCACACATTTTGCATTTCAGGATGAAACGACTATGGCTGTCCTAGCAGTAAGGCACTTAAGTCACTGAAGCACACACTGCTACGTTTAAACAATTAGTGGAAATTTCACCATACTGATGGGATTTGAATGTTAAGTTTTGGAACCTATTTTATGCACTAGTGAAATTGGTAGCATTGTGTACTTCATATTCCCACAATGGTGAAAATTATAAAGATCTTTGTTAGTTTGTTAACTCACACTCAAGAGAAACTCTTCTCCTTCAATAGACCCCCAAACAGGGTCTAATCCCACTGACTTCAGTGGGCATAGAATAGCATAACTGTTTGGGACTGCACTGAAGTCTCTACTTTGAGCCTTAGAAATCATGCATCTTAAGGCAGCAGGTCAGTTAAAAATCCAACAGTCCTAAGACTGAGATCCATGCAACTATGTGGAGAGCTTAGATTGCCCTGTAAGGTTTCTTAAGGTGCCTTTTAAATCACTCAACAAGTTACTCCTTCACGGAGAATGCTAGTGAATTTAAAGAAGATATTCTGCACAAAAAAGTGAATGTCTATGTGCATGCTTAAGAACCACCATGAAATTGACCTGAAATGTGTGTATAGATTTTAATGTTTCCCTTTAAGCTTGTAACGTTGCAAATGAAAATAAAATCTAGACGATCACTTGCTAGATGATCCATATTATGAAATTGACCTGAAATGTGTGTATGGATTTTAATGTTTCCCTTTAAGCTTATAATGTTGCAAATGAAAATAAAATTTAGAAGATCACTTGCTAGATGATCCATATTATGCCAACATTTAACTATTTGTACAACTTTTTAAACACTATGTTAATTGTATGCAAATCTGATTTATTTCTTTTACAGAATTGAGCTGTAGCAACTGCAGGCCTTCGTTATATGAACAAACAAACAATCTCTCTAGGTCACAGTCAAATGAATCTAATTTCTTTGAAAAACAAAAAGACCAAGAATGCACCTACATTCCTCATCCAGAAATGCTTAGTACCTCTGCTTTCGTGTCAGCTGCTTCCCTTTATTCAATGAATTTACCCATTACTGAAGTTGGAAATGCAGAAAACTCAGTTTTTTCAGCTGCCCTTCCTGGACCTGGAGATCCTGGAGCACCACCTCTTCCACCCCAGTTGCAGAATGAACAAGAGGAGACATGTTCCACCTCCAGTGATAATCACTTCTTGCCTTTGAGATCCCGCTCACTTTTTCCACAGTGAAGAATGGGTTCCTGATGAATCTTACATGGTAATAATGCTGCACAGGATGTCTTGTATAGTTTTACAAAAAAGAGATTTTTAAAAACTGTAAAATAACAGTAGGTTAAGAATGCTGAGGACAATCTTCTTTGAAAATAGTTCACTGAACCTGATAAATAGTTTAGGAGGTTGTAAAGCTGCATATTTTCTCTAACATCATATTATCATCATTCTGTTTCAATTATTGCCACTTAAATGCCTTTAAAGGGGCTTTCTTATATTCAGGTAGGAAAAATGATGCTCAGATGATTTTAAAAGATTTTACATTTACAGGGTTTTCCAGCTTTTCTAAAAGTGCTACACACTTCTTCCTACGAGAACATAACTTCTTTTTTTCATATTGAACTCTCCTAAAAAAAAAAGGAGAATAACTTCTCTTACTTGCCACAGTAGCCATTTTCTCTAGTAATTCTTAGGGCTTGCTCAAACATATTAACTCCTGACAGCTTCCTAGATGTTTTCCTAATAGGTACTATTTAACTGTCATAAGGAGGGACATTTAGCACAGAAAGAAATCTATCGATTTCTTACCTCACTGTTACCATCTTACATTGGAAGTAAGCTTTCACTTGTGCCTTATTAATATACAAAAATTAAGTTCAGTCTGGAAACAGCACCTAACTTTGCTGCAAAAAAAGCATTGATTAGCAATGGGCAGAGGTAAAGAAAAGAACCCCCTGACAAAGCAAGAGGTGCATTGATTGGTTTGCAGCAATATTTCTGTGCATCATCTTGGATTGAGTTTTTTGGGTAGTTATTATGGCATGCATATCCACAGTTTATTACTTTTAGCATTAACTGCTCTTTTAAAAAAATGACATGATCTGTCCTTTGTTCCCATTAAACTTCAAGAAGCATTAAAGATGTACTTCACAAGACGTCTTAAAGTGATTGAATAGCGGCAAATTTTCTGGGCACTGAATGTTGACACTTTCATAGTACTTATGGTGCAGATGCTTCTTCTCAGTGCTGAATATATTGCTAAAGTAAAAAGGTTTGATTCTTCTTCAAGGTGGGACAATGCTGTTCTACAGACAGTGGGTTAGAACCAGTAAATCTCTTCTACATTTTCCTCCAGAGAAAAGGAATCTTTACATCAGAATTTGGCAACAGGGGGTCTTTGGATCATAACTTACCCCAAACAATCAAAAGGAGCAAAAGATCTCCCTCAGTCATCTGGAGGACTTCCTTGTGGCCAGGTCACTGGAAAATGGGGGCATTGGTGAGGGAACGTCTGTGTACTACTGTAAAACAGTTTATAGGATTAATGATTTTCTAATTATTTTTTCACTATACTGAGAATGTGTGTGAGACAGCTTATATGTAAACATGCATAACAATGAAAAATGTGATATTATTTTAGAGGTCATATTTGTACAATGTAAAGAAAATCATGTATTGTGTACTGTTGGGGTAACACCATAATATTTCAGCAATCCTTTTTTCAAATATTCTCTTACAGTCATTGTATGTCCACTATCTGGACATGCATGGGGAGATAGTTATGCTCAAGATGAATGCTTACCAAAAGGAAGCTGGCTTTCTGTGGGGCCTCTGAGATGCAACAGATTATAAATATATCTTTGCATTATTTTGTTTTTAGTTTTTAAATCAGATTTAATTGCACTAATAGTCTGGTCCTATGCATGTTTATGCAGAAGTAAGTCTCACTGAATTCACTGCAACTTTATCACAGGTTAAGTAGGATTAAAACCTAATAAAGTTCCTTATGAGCGCAACTGTTGTATATAATGTGTTGATCACTGTTTTGTGGAATACTGGAGTTCTTTCATAAGCTTGAACTGGTCTATTTTTCTCCTAAAGCTGTGACCATTTGTATTACAAATTTCCCTACCTCATAGCTTACCAAAACTCAGACATGTACAGTGGCATTTAACAGAGCATTCTTTATCTAATATATCTGCTTATGCATTCACGCAAGAGTGAACTAGTGATTCCCACTGCTGACTTACGTATAATTTTATGAATATTAAATACTCCTATTATTAGTTTGCTCTTTTCTGAAGTTTGATTATATGATGCAATCTATGCTGTATCGTCATACCATCCTATTCAGTGTCAATGAGAATTCCCCAGTGTGGTGCCTGTGGGCACAATGGCGCCTGCCAGTACTTCCCTTGGCACTCACCAAGCTTGTCAGAAAGCGAGTGGAGCCACTGTATGGCAGGCCTTGTCATTGGGTTCCCTCATTCAAATGAAAGGGTTTCGCAGGGCTGCAAATTGAGGAGGGAGATACTGCGTTAGGCTTCATCTGCCTCAGGCATTTTGTGGTGGCACTCTCCATTCCCTCTCAAAATTCCGTTGGTATTCACAGGCTTAAAAAGGTTGGGGACCCTGATGTAGATCTTTGGAATGATTATTATTTGTTAATAAAAATGTTTGAAACGTGTAGTTTTAAAATAAGTACTTCTATTTAAAAAAAAAGCGCACAACTGAATTGTAAAAAAATGAACCTTTGTTTGGTAGTTTTGTGTTAATTGGTTAACTCACTTCCCAAATACTTCCCATACATCTCCTCAGATTTCATAAACTACACTGTAAGAGGCATTCATGTCTAAGATCTCATATTTACAAACTTTGTATCCTACCTTTCTGCCCTTACAAGAGCTGCCAATTTAAAACATACATGATTATAAAACCATTAAAATCAACCCACCTCTCGAACATACATAATTAAACCAATTTTAAATGAGTTAAAAAACTTAAAATACAGACAAAACATACAAATATTTGTTAGGAAGGAGGGATCTTTGTGGGAATGCTATATTTTAAAAAGTCTTCATGCATTGCGGAGGATGGCAACAGGAGGGGACAGATTAATCTCCCTGAAGAGAGAGAGCTCCAGAGCTTTGGTGCTGTGACTGAGAAGGCCTTCTTCCGAGTTGCCACCTGCCTAACCTCCGAAGGTGGGGGTTTCTGAGACAGGGCCTCTGAAGATGACAATAATGGTTGCGCAGGTTCATTAAGTTGGTTGGTCCCAACCCATATAGAGCTCTGAATGTCAAGTCCCAGGACCTTGAATAGTGCCTGGAAACAAATTGGAAGCCAGTGTAGGCGGGCTATGATCGGAGTGATGTGGTCCCTACAACCCACTACAGTCAATATTCTGACTGCAATATTCAGTACCAATTGAAGTTTCTGAACACTTTGCAAGGGCAGCCCCATGTAGAGCTGCATTGCAGTAACTTAATCTAGATGTAACCAGGGCATGCAACACAATGGCCAGGAAAGGCAGTGGCTGGTTGATCAGTCAGTCAAAGCTGGTAAAGGGCACTCTTGGGCATGGCTGCCACCTACTTATATCCAGTAGTAGACTTGGGTTCAAGAGCACCCCCAGACTACAGACCTGTTCCTTCAAGGGAGTATAGGGGACAAGATGGAACCTTGTAGGATGCCAGTAGTCTCCCAGCACCACCTTCTGAACCCTGCCCTCCAAGTTGGACTGGAACCACTGCAGAATAATGCCTCTCAATCCCAGTCCAGATAGGTGATCCAGAAGGATACCATGATAGATAGTATTGAGTGCCACTGAGAGGTCCAGGAGAATCAACAGAGTCACATTCCTGTCCATCCCCCAAGGCTGTTTGAGTCCGATAACCAGGCCAAAACTCAAACTGCAAGGGGTCTAAGCAATTCACTTCATCCAGAAAGGTTGGAATTGTCCATCCACCACCCATTCAATCACATTGCTCAAAAATGGAACATTTGAGACTGGTTGATAATTACACCACTTATTTGGCCCAGCTTTGCTACTGATGGAAGCAGGGGGTTTTGCAGCTTCCACACAGCATCCTCCTGTTCTCATGCACCCCTCCAGTTTTTCTGCAATCTTTTAGGAAAGGTCACAGCAAAGCTGGGGTGGTTGTTGTGTGTATATGGTTTACGGATGGCTGTCGGACCAGGGGCAAACTCTCTGGTTATTCCCAGGTCTGGTGAACAACCTTACTGACAGTAAGCAGGCCTGGATAGGACCTCTGAGTAAAGCTACCTTGAATATTAAACAAAAGAAACAGTTTATTTTTTTATATTCTGTCTTCTGTCATTAGAGTCACAGTAACATGTTGCAAACAAATTATGCAGCAAGAGAAAAAGAGGGAAATAATGAGCATCAAAATAAGAGAACAGTACTTTGCCTCAGAGAATGAGAAAAGTTACAGGGTATCTTTAGACAAACTGCTGTTGGTGTATGATATGCGAAACTCCCCCCCCCCCCAACTTCTGCTATTTTCATTTTGTTGGTGAGTGTTGCTTTTTTTTTTCTATATTTGCATTAGTTTTTGCAGTCACATGTGTGCTGCTTTTCACAGGCACCTTCATAGGCTCCTATGTATTTGTGGAAGAGTCCAAATTCAAAAAGAGGCTAAAATGTTGATACATAAGACTATGAAATGGGCTGCATGCCCAGTAAATAAGAGAGAGAGAGAGAGAGAGAGAGAGGTTACTGAAGATGAAAGATGATCAGAGAGGTGTGAAAGCAAAGCAAAAAATACCAATAAAAAGTGGTCCTGACATAGAAGGTGATATAGATGGATGGTAATGTGGCATACCACTCTAATGGCAGAAAGTGAAGAGGACCTAAAGAGCCTCTTGCTCAGAGTGAAAGAGGAGAGCGCAAAAGTGGGCTTGAAGCTCAACATTAAAAAAACTAAGATCATGGCATCTGGCCCCATCACTTCTTGGCAAATAGAAGGGGAAGTCGTGGAAGTAGTGACAGACTTCACGTTCCTGGGATCCCAGATCACCGCAGACTGTGACAGCAGCCATTAAATTAAAAGACGCCTGCTCCTTGGGAAGAAAGCGATGGCGAACCTAAACAGCATGATAAAAAGTAGAGACATCACCCTGCCAACAAAAGTCCGCATGGTCATAGCAATGGTATTCCCAGTAGTCATGTATGCCTGCGAGAGTTGGACTATAAGGAAGGCCGAGCGCCGAACAATAGATTCTTTTGAACTATGGTGCTGGAGAAGACTCTTGAGAGTCCCTTGGACTGCAAGAAGATCAAATCAGTCAATCCTAAAAGAAATCAACCCTGACTGTTCCCTGGAAGGCCAGATAATGAAACGGAAGCTCAAATACTTTGGCCACCAAATGAGAAGGGAGCACTCACTGGAGAAGACCCTGATGCTGGGAAAGATTGAAGGTCAAAGAAGACGGGGACGGCAAAGGATGAGATGGTTAGACAGTGTCATAGATGCAACAAACATGAAGTTGAGCAAACTTCAGAGGATGGCGGAAGACCGGAAGGCCTGGCGTGATCTGGTCCATGGGGTCACGAAGAGTTGGACTCGACTGTGCGACTGAACAACAACAACAAATTTGGCATTGTAAATGTCTACATTATGTCAGTTTTAAAAATGTAGATAGATTGCAGACATTATTGGTTTGTCATCTTTAAAAAGTACAGTTGGTCTGTGACATTGTATACTGTATACTGTGTTGATGTTAAATTTTGAATGGATAAGCAGCTATTGGTGTATACAAACAAATTTTGATAACGCTATGCACACAGACCATTATATATAAGTACCATTATACTTGTACATAGAATTGGGCAAGAGAAAGGGCTGAAGGGCATATTCTTATTTTCTGAAAATAGTGTAATTTATCAGTACTGACTGTTAACACAGTCATTTCTAAGTATTGCAGGAAGAATGTCACCAACTTCCTTATCTTGGTCATGAGACACTATAGTGAATTCCTTCCTTATCCACTCACCCCCAGAGCACTTGTTCAAGAATACTGACCAGAAGCCAAAACGCTGACAGAAGTGAGAAGCACTTTGGGGTGGTGACAACTTTAGAGTCTTAATCTTTATGCTTTATGCTGTGACTCCTGTCAAGTGGTATCTTTGGCTAGTGGCTGCCAGAAGTATTTAGTGCTGGCACAGAATCTACATCAGATTTTTTCTGAAAGTGTGCCTTAATTCAGCTGGGAGACTGTTCCATAGGGCTGGAGTGGACTTGTAGTGACTAAAAAGTTTTAGTGCTAGCCTTTCTATGCTAGCTCCAGAGGAAGCATAGGAGCTTATTAGCTAACTGTTGCTTGTTCCTCTTGTCCTGTTAATGGGTCCTGCTGCTACTGTATCCCTTTAGGAGTCCCCTTAAAAGGGTAGAAATTTGTGGGCACCTTGTATGGCACCTGTCAGAAAAGTGGATGGGGCCAGCAGAGATCCTAATTGGCTATTGGAGATCTGACATACTGCCACATGTTTTGTAGCTAGCTCAATGTGTGTTGTGAAGAAAGTATTTTAAACAATATGTTTGTTTCTTAAAGCATCCTATTAAATAGTGCTGCAGCCCGAAATGTAGATGAGCTACAGTCAGAGGTAAATATGACCTGATTGCCTAATATTTTCTACAGCCATTTCGTGCTTGTGCCCACTACCCTGGGTCAGATTGCCAAGGCGCCCCTTAGCTCAAAAAGCCTGGTGACCCCTGCTCCAGGGAAAGACTTTACCTGAACCTTTTAAAGCCTCCATCAAAGTCAGGCGTGGGCTAGAGATGGGTCCACTTCATAATGGTTATGTTCCGAAACGGGTTTAAAAATTTACCGTTGACAACGAATTGGTACTACGAGAAATTATGTTCTCCGAGTTCGATGCTTAACGTGACAGATATTAAACCAGATCAGCTCTTTATAGGCAGAAGTGAGGACACTTAAAAAAGGAATACCGCTTCATTCTAGCATAAGCTTTTGTACACTAGAGCCGGCCTTTTCAGATACAGCGCACAAAAGCTAATACCGGAATAAAAACATTGCTCTTTTTTAAGGCGTCACAAGCGACCTGTCTGTTTTTACTTCCGCAGCCTCACAAGGTTACTCCTCAGGAGCTCTTAGTAGGGTGCAGAAAGGTCGCTTTCCATAATGACGGCGACAGCGCGAACGGCCAGAGGCCGCCGCCTTGTCCTGTCGAGGGTCCAAGGCTTCACCCCCAACCGGAACCTTCCGCTTCGCGTCTCCTGGCTTCCGCGGACGGTTGTCCCTGTTACACCAGCCCCACCATGGCAGGGGCGGAAGGCAAGGACCCGCTGGCCTTCTTCGCGGCTTACGGCAGCGATAACAGTTCGAGCGCCAGTTCTTCTGACTCCGACAACGAGGAGGTCTCAGGCTCACAGCGGGACTCGGCGCCGCAGCAAAGGATTCCTGAAGGGAAGCCGCGCTTGCCCGGGCCCGACGAGCTCTTCAGCAGCGTCAACCGGCCGGCCTTTCTCTATAACCCGCTGCATAAGGAGATCGACTGGGAGAGCCGGGTCGTGCGGGCGCCCGAGGAGGTTGGTGCTGAGTAGGGAGTGGGGCCTAGGATTGCCAGATCCAGGGTGGGAAACGCCAGGAGACTTGGGCAGGGGGCCTGGGTGAGTCAGGGACCTCAGTGGGGTACAATGCCACAGAGTCCACCCACCCTCCAAAGCATCCATTTTCTCCAGGGGAACTTATTTCTGTAGTTTAGAGATGAGCTGTAATTCTGGATGATTCCCCAGGTCCCACCTGGAGGCTGGCATCCCTAAGGGGCCTGATGTATGTCAGGGTGGGGGAGGCGCTTATCACCGAACAGTCTCTGGGGAAACAACTCGAAAATCTTCTCCTTTGCTGGGGGGGGGGGCAGACTAGGATATAAAAAGGGTCCTGGAAAAGGCTCCCTCCTTCTGCCCCCCCCCATACTTGATGGGGTGCATTTAGAGAGTGGACAGAGAAGAAAGCGTGTGCCTTGGTACTCCTAGCCCCTTGCCAAGGAAAAACCAGGGGAACACGGTCTGAGATGACAGTACAAACAAACAAATATAATATCATATAAATACATAATAAACTCATGATACATACAAAACATCAACCAATAACATGTAAATATAATAATAATCCTACAAACACCTAGCCATAAATAAACAAACAATAAATAAACTTCATATAAGTCCATACCAACAATGAGTAATAATAATAGGAATATAACAAATTACTGAAGTATAAGAATTTTTGCAAGTAAAATTCTTCTGAAGCATAGGGATCCAATCCTCTCGGGCTTCCCTCTGTTGAAGCTATTGCTGAATAAGGATCCAACATCCAATCAATATATGTCATTTAGATGCCTCTCCTTTTCAAGAGCTGATGATCAATCCTTAAGAATGATCAATTTCCACTGTAAACAAGGTGCTTCAAAGACAGAACAGAGCAGCCTTCAAACAGCAGCAAAATTAGATGCCTCCTCCTGAGGCCCAGTGTTCTTGAAAAAAAATTTATACTCTGCTAATTTGTTATATTCCTTGAAAGGACTTTCCATCACTGTTACTAATTGTTGGTATAGACTTATATGAACTTTGTTTATTTATTGTTTGTTTATTTATGGTTAGGTAGTTAAAGGGTTATTATATTTACATGTTATTGGTTTCTCATGTTTGATGTTTTGTATGTATAATGAGTTTATTATATATTTATATAATACTATAGATTGATCATGGTATTTTTGTTCGTTTGTACGGCCTGTTTCCTTGCCGGCAGAGCGTCGGTGAGCACCACCCTGATCTGTCATGCAGGCCTCACTTTGGGGAGGAAGCGGCTCTGGGAGAGCCGGCTCTTCCGCCACAGCTTCCCACTGGGGTCTTTTCCTGTAAAGTAAATCACCATTCTCCCCTGGTGGCAAGACTGAGCGATAAGGGAAACATTAGGGTGGCATAATAGCAAACACGTTGCACTGACTTTTCCTTTTCCTTGCTTTTACTTCATTTCTGTTTGTCTTGTAGATACCATGATTTGCTAGGAGGTGGAGCCTCAACTTGACAAGGAGGCTCTAGCCTCTTAACATGATTGATTTAACTCTGTGTAATATTTATTGTTTAGTCTTTGTTGGGTCAAATATCCATTTTTACTAGATTTTAGCAGCACCTTAAAAGACTAGAAAAACTTATTCAAAAATAGGCTTTTGAAAGTCAGAGCTTGGTTCTTTAGATAGGTAGGTGTATTTATCCAAAGCAGCTAAATCTGTACTTATGAGTTTAAGAAATGGGGGTGGGGGGTGGGGAGAAGCTACAGGGAGAGGCTAGGGTAAAACAAGAATCAAAGAATAATCAGTCCACTCCAAGTGGGTAAGGTCTACTCCCAATTATTGATAAATATCTAGAGTAGGATCAACAATAAACTATAACAAAACTTTGGCAATGTCAACTGGCCAGCCTTTCTCTACTGTGAGAGTTGGGTCATACAGACGCCCAAGGAGGTTAGGAGAAAGAGGGGGGCAGGTCTCATGGTCCAGTGGTCTCCAGGAAGCAACTCAGAAGCCTCTTCCTCTACCAACAGGCAGGACACAATGGGAGACCAAAGCAGTCATGAAAAAGAGTTCTTCCTGCTACCATGTCCCCCAGAACTGATGAAGGACCAAGGAATGAGTTCGAAAGAGAAGGGGTGCTGCTTTGCTTGTCCTCTGTGGCTGCACTGAGCCCAGACCACCCCTGGCTGAAGCCATGTTCCTCCTTGCCTCCTGCATCACATCCTGGCTGGCAGAGTGAATCTGGGCGCCTCCAAAAGAATGCCCCCACTTTTGAGGGAAGCTTTTATACAACCTCTTGCTCCTTTGGAGCACAGCCAGTGTGACTACTGGGTCTTTCCACTTTAAACCAGAGCAAAGGAAAAACCTTCTTTGGTGTGGCTTAAGGGTGGCTGCAGGCAGAGCCTTCATGTGGAAGCTGGAATGGGGAAGGCCCCCCCTTTTCAGTCTTTTAACAGCCAGTGCTTCTTTAGCTGTGACTTAGCTGTGAAGGGAAGTTGCCTTCCCTATTGCTGTGTTGGTGTTTCTGTGCTGACACAATGGTGGATGGTGGGGTGCATGTTGGAGGCATGAGCAGTAGCAAGTGCTTGGTGTGTGTGTACCCTGTTTGCTTCCACTGCTGCTGTATGCTGTTTTCTTAGCAGGGGTGCCATTTTTCACCCCTCCTCCCTTTAGAAGTGGTCTGAGAGTGTTTACAGGCAGGGACTCAGCAAACTATAGGGAGTAAAGAAAACTCTGGAGTGAAATGAATTTGGAACAGTGTTGACTCTATTCTATGTTACTTCTTCTTTATTCAGTTTTGTTAGTTCTAGACTTAAGCAGCCACTGTGGCAGCAACCATAGTTACCTTCACTCCTTGGACCTTTCTTCTCAAATTAAAATATGTATTTACTGAATACAAGATCGGCTTAGTTTTTCAGAGAGTAGTCTTTACCACACTCGCCAGTTCAAGGTTCACACTGGATGACATTATTATAATTCCTGCTCGGCCTTAATACAAAGATGCCAGGAGCGAAAGCTTTGTTGTTTTGTATTCAGTACATAATTGCTTAGCTTCTTTTGAACCTAATGGCTTGAGGTTTTTCTGTTCTCTGTAGATGGATTTCACTGGTAATGGATTTCATAGTGCTTCTCCAGGCCCACTTGCACAGTTTTATCTCAACTTCACAACCCCACGGGCTTTATCTCGGTTCTTTTGCAAGTATTAGACTTCCATTTAAGCAGTGAGGCAAGAGTACTAAGTCTAAATTGTACTGAGTAAGTCTAAATTGTATTGGGAATAAGAAAATATGGATTGAATATTATATTTTTGTGATAGTCTATTTTTTGTTACTTTATCACCTGCTAAAAAGGAGTTGTTTGGGAGGTAATAAAATAAATATTCTACAAAACGCAAACTGTGACTCTTGTTTGGAGACAAGTAATTCTGATATGAGAATACAAAGTGGATGACAGATCTTTTCCATCACCTTATTTGCTGTAATGTCAACCGTTATATACATGTGTAATATACATGGAATTTTTATTAATGTTGGAAAAAATGGTATTATGTCTGCCAAGGCATTTTCATTTGCCATTTGGAGACAGTCCCTAACTATCACCCTGTAAACAGTCAGTCAACTTTCCTTTAATGTTTTCCAATGGCTATTTAGAAACTCGAAGAATTCCTGTGCTGGTGTATGTTCTCGGTAGGAGCCTGGTAATTACCATACACCTGGAATTACTGTTAATGGGAATTCAAGCCCCCTCCTGCAAACACATAAGAAAAGACGCATAGCCATTCCAGCCATGTCACTCAGACATGTCCACAGCTAACTTGGCAAAGGAAACTGCTGTGGAAATGCCACATCCTCTCACAGAAGGGTTCGAGTCCCAGAGGGGGAAATCAGTGCCCTATGGAGTAGGGCGTTTTTGCACAGGACAACAGCAACAAGAAAACATAATGGCACATGCGCAGAAGGTGTGCCCTGTTGCCCTAGTAGCTCACTGAAAGTACTCATGCAAAACAGGAAGAAGAGGGATTCTAGTTCCACCAAGGGCAAAGCTCACCTGGGGACAGGCAGTAAGCTGATAAACAGTCAAATATGATATACCAGCTGTGATTGGATGATCAGCCTGCCACACCTCCCTTGCCAGACCACAAGTGTGCAGACAGCTCTAATAAAGTGAGCTTTGATTCACAAAAGCTTATAGCCAGGAAAAAATTGTTGGTCTTTAAGCTGCTGTTGGACTCTGTTTTACTTCAACAGACTAACATGGCTATCCACTTGAAACTGCAGACAATGGAGGACCCTTCCAAGAAGTCTCATGCAGAAGATAGCTGAGGTTGATAACGAACGGGGGTGACTACATTAAACTCCATTAAAGCGAAATAATGCAACAGGGAAATAATGCATCCAGTTACAGATCAGCATCAGGAATGGAGTTCTGGGTGCATGTCAGATGAATTAGATCACCATCTCACTTTGTCTAGCAGTAGTCCTGTACTTTTTAAAGTTGCACTGGCAGTAGTATAATAGGAACAGCAGCACTATCACTGCATGCCCATGATAGGTTTGGCTGTGTTGGTTGAACTGTCAAGTAGCTTGCGGTGGTGCAGGAGCGAGGCTAGAACAAGAGAGCTGGTAACAGCAGAGCAGCCAGATATACACAGGTTACTGTAGCTGTTGGTTGTGTTGTAACTTGATCAGGTGGTTGGTACTGTTGGAGGCCTGCCTGGAAAAGCCAAAAGAGACACAAAGGACAGTTGTGTCCCGTGGTAGTGACACACAGCATGAGAGTTCAAGCACTCAACATTTGATAGTGAGCTATGAGTGGCATCACCTAGGTGCTCTTCCTGCTCCTGTTATCTGCCTCCTTGGGGTGGGGGATTTCCACACTGTGATGAAGATAATATACTTATTGGTTCAATACTTTCCCTTCTAGGGAATGATATTGGAAGTCTGCCTGCAGTTTTTGTTTGGGCTGTTCCATGGGTCTGTGGCTTACAAGGCAAAAGGCTTCATGAATGTTTGGGCGGCAGCAGCAGTGGTTGGAGTGTCTGGTAGTCACCTAGAGATGTGGTGATGCTCCCTGTTGTTATCACTTCCATGTGGGATTACACCTCTATGACATAAGTACGAAACTGTGATGATGATCTGTCTGAATATCTCGGGGAGAGAGAGGTGCCTTTCTGTGGATGTGCCCCCTGTGTGTGAGGCACCATTAATAACTCTTGAGGGAGGAAAGTATTTGGGGTACGTATTGTGTGGGACTGATCTCTGCAGCAAGTTTGAGGCAGGAGGGTCTTCCTCCCGTTTTTACCTATGTGGAATGCATTGTCCTTCAGTCTCCAATTGAAGAAGTGGAGGATCCACGTCCGTGTTTGGTTTCTGAAGTGGGAGTTTCCGTCACCAAAGTCTTGTGTGTGAGCTAAGCGTGCCTCACATGAGGCCAGAGAGGTGCTGCTAGAGCTGTCCTCTGAGATATGGGTGTCTAGGCCGGAGGGTGGGATCTTACAGCGTGTTTAGCTTCTCTGTGCTTAGCAGCAGACTTCATCAGTATCTTATGTTCTGTCGCAAATAAGCCACATAAGATAGGGGTTGGGGGTCCTTCTTTGACATGGGGATTTTGATACTGATGCCAGAGTTTTTGTCAGAATAATGTTATGTGAGGATGGGAAGTGAGGTGAGAGAGGGCTTCTGATGCCTACTAAGTCCTGCTTGTCCCCCAGATGTCCCCAGCACAGCCTATTTCTAGCCCCTTTGGTAGTACAGTGGAGGGGGAGGGTTACTGCAGTGTCATTACCATGTTACTGGAGTAAAGGGTTGCCAACCTAATGTGGAGGCTGGCTTTAGGGTGGCACTCTAAACAACACTGGGACTGATGACATGCCGCTTCACCATTGCAGTATATATTTTCAGATATGAGAACAACTCCTGTTAATGAGTGCATCCATGCCTTTAAAAATTATTCTAAGACTCATCTCTCCCAGTTGGTTGTCTGGCAGTGCAGTATTTTAATTGTTGTATTCCCTTCAACAGCCTCCCAAGGAATTCAAGGCATGGAATACGAATGCTGTGCCACCCCCTGAGACTTACACTGTTAAAGAAACAAAGCCCCCACCACCGCCTGAGCTTGATATGGCAATAAAGTGGTCTAATATGTATGAGGATAATGGTGATGATGCTCCAAGGCACGCAAATAAAGTCAACTTCTTACCAGACAAAGAACAGGAGGAGACCTTGCAATCAGGTAATGCCATTTGATTTTATAGACAGGAAAAATAACAACTCCCTGAGTTTTATTTGTGTGTGAATTCATGTAATGTGAGTTATTTTTTTCTTTGAGGATTTTTATTTCCCACATTGACGTTTCTTTCCCTTGATGTTTATTTATGTAGAAGATTTTGGAATCCAGTGATGATAAGAGCTAGCAATACATTCCATAGCTCCTTAAACCATATAGCAAATGACAAAAAGGCAGTGTGCCTTATTTTTATCTAATCCACTTTTACACCCTAGAACACTTTTAATATTATGGAGCATGAAGAAAGAGGAACTTCAAAGCATTTCTGTTTCCTGTCCTCTGTACTGTCTTCAACAGAGCCTTTGCATTTTGCCACCTCTTTTTCACAATACAGAGAATCACAGACAAGATTCACAAATTAAGATCCCCCCCCCCATCACTTCCCCTGATTAATTTGTGAAGCCTATGTCAAGCACAAGGCCTGGGATCCTTGCTGGCCACAGAGATGTGATAGCTCAAGCACCCCGGTGCCTGTCTTCATTCAAAAGAACCTTAAATGATAATCTGAAACTTTTACCTACCTTCAGATAAAGATCATAAAGGGAAACTGTCCCCTTTGTCTTTGGAATTCTGACACAGGGTGGTAGGGGCAGCCACAGAATGGCTGCCAAAAGAGGCAGAGCCAACTACAAAATGTCAAGGAGTGAGGTTATAATTCTGATATTAAACTTTCCAACATTTCAGGCAGAAGCTCTGTTTAACAGGATGCTTTTGAAAACAAACATATTGTTTTAAAATATTTTCTCATATACACACAGTTTACCTTCAGTCAGGCAGTGAAGATCCTTGTACTGTGGTGGCAACTGCTGCCAAAGCAATGTTTAAAAAAAACTAAACAGCTAATCAGAAGCCCTGTTGGGCAAAATCTCCACGTGGCCCTGCCCGTTTTTTAAAAACACTTGGTGGGCACCACGTTGGGGGACCCATTTTAGATGCTTGTATTGAGGAATTGTATTGAGGATGTGTACTTAAAGATGGTTCAACAGTCAATAATTCACTTACAGTTCAGTTCTAAACATGTATATTCCACGTCTATGGGGCTTACTCAGTAATAAGTGTGCTTAGGTTTGCAGCCTTGGGAAATGAATTTAAAATAATTTGCAGCCTTGGGAAATGAATTTAATAAGGTTTGATAGTCATCGTTTTTATTCTTCACTAATGGGCTCATTTCACTTTTGAAACTCTTCCACCACATAAATCAATCAGAGAACAGTTGAAGCTGCTATATTTGCATCTGTTGCTTTTGAAATCTTTGGCAGATATCTGCTTCTTTTCATTGACGAACAATGTCTTTTATTTGAAGATGATGAAAAAGATGAACCTGCTTCAGTTAAGAAACGCAAGCTGGACCCTGAAGAGCAGACAAAGAAGAAGAAGCGATGAACTGAACAAAGTTTATTTGACTCTGGAAACTGTTTTTATTGAACATGTAGGAGGACATCTGTTGGACTTTAAGATTACTACTGGCACAAGAAAATAAAAATAGCATCACCATATGGCACACAGCATATTTAGGGATTCTGTAACTTCTGTGAAATTTTTTATCATCTGGAGTTTTATCAGTTGGTATTGTTAGAGATTTTGTATTTACAAACCCAAAATGTTTAGCTACAGATATTTTAATTAAAACAAAACTTCTTAGAATATTGTGATATGTATTTGTGTTCATGCAGGCTGTGGAAATTCTCTGTATTCCGTTCAGCCACAAAATTGGTAAATGTGGTAAAGGTTTACTGAACTTCTATTGTGGTTAAAGTTTTTTTAAAATGAAGAAGTTACTTTTTGTGGAGGGAGAAAAGTATTAAACTTTGTATTGCAGTAATAATGATTCTGGTTTGACATTTATGTAAAGAATGTACATAGCTCACTAAAATTATTTAAAAGGTTGTCTGGTAGCATTACCTATTCAGATACAAAGTTTGAGTCCAGTGGCACCTTTAAGACCAACAAAAGTTTTATTCAAGGTATGAGCTTTCGTGTGCACACCAGATATCTGAAGAAGTGTGCATGCACATGAAAGGTCACACCTTGAATAAAACTTTGTTGGTCTTAAAGGCCCCACTGGACTCTAACTTTGTTCTACTGCTTTGGACCAACACAGCTACCCACCTGGATCTATTCAGATACTGTGTTTGGTTGGGGTTTTGTTGAAGTGTGTTTGCACTGTTTGTAATATACTTCTAGTAAAATGGAGTTTTTAAGGTTCCTCTGGACTCTGGTTTTGTTGTGCTACTTGTCAGAGTGTTACAAGATCTGAGCTCTATCAGGCTAAAATAAAATAATTTTTGATGATGGTGGTGCTTACTTGCTTCCTTAGTATTCTTTTTTTCAAAATGGGAAGTAGAGCAGATTATGTGAAATAAATCACAGATAAATTATACCTTCTCCAGTTTAGAAAAGTTAATTGGCTTTAAAGTTAAATGACTTTAAATCAATGTAGCAAATAGAAAACATGTGGTGTCTTTTGCGTTGATGTTGAGGTATGGTTCATTCAGTTTTTTTAGAAGATGCTTTTGAAAGTAGTTGATAGAACAGATGAAATGTGGGGTTGACTGTGTAACCTATAGATAGACTTTGTTGTTGATAGCTTTGTACAGTTCTTAACTACTTTGCAGAAAGGGTTAGTTTTAAACAGAAAGCAGATTCTTTCCTGTTATACTTATTGAGGCAACAGTTTTCATGAGGGAGGAAATTATTGCATCTATTAGTCTTTTCATTAGCTTTGCTAAAATAGTTTTGAGCTTGTCCTAATGGCAAGTGAAATTGGTACTTGTGGCACTTCAGCAGTTTAAAGCCTGCTCTCAAGTAGCAGTTCTCTGTCAGCTGTAGCAAACATGTTTGTCAGGATGAATAATCAAGTCATTTTCACATCTGAGGCTGGTAAAGATGACTGAGTAGAAAATAATGATTTGGTGTCTGTAAAAGAGGTGCTTTGTGTAGAATGTACTTTTACTAAAAGTGGAACATGTAAAATGGTTTGGTTCTACAACTGACTTGGGAGAGTCAGTTTATGCAAAAATATTAACCACTTGTGGACAGCATGTTTGTAAGTGACAGATGTTCTGCTGAAGCAGTCTGTGTTCCCAGAGAACAATAGGTGCTGTAAATAACCTGGATCTTTGTGTTCTTTCAGTCAGCAGTGAAAAGTCTATGGTCTGTTTGGAAAACAGACTTCTACCCACCCAGGCATGAAAAATAAGCCAAGACATACCCTTAGGGTATAAGTGTTGAGCAGCTTGCATGCATACTGAAATGTCACTCCTTTTGAAAGACAGTGATATAAACTGCAGCCCAAGCTGCTAAATTAATAGGATAAATGAATAAGCCAAAGCATTATTTGAAATAGAGCCTTCTAGAGTTGTAGAAATTATTTTATAATATTTTATTTGTTTGCCTAGATATTCCACTAGAGGGTGCCAAGTTAATGTTTTTCAATTTCAGATGAACTTCAAATAGTGAAGGAATAAATTTTGGTGTGGGGGGAAATCACTTCTCTCAGCTAGTTCCTGTGAAAAGGCACACCCGCTGCCCGCTTTCTTGCTTCAGCTGACCTAGAGCTTTTGTTTCTGCCAAATGGTCTTTACCAGGGCTTTTTTGTAGAAAAAGCCCAGCAGGAACTCATTAGCATAACAAGCCACACCCAACATCAGAAACCCATTAGCATATTAGGCCACACCCCTGACAACACAGCTTATTAGCATATTATGCCACACCCCATGCCTTCCCTTGGCTTGCCCGCCCCCTTGAAGGGAAGGGAAGGCAGTTTAAACTTGCCTGGGTGCCCCGCAGCTACAGGGAGCCCGGGCAAGCCGGCCCTTGGACAGGCCGGGGAAGGTACAGGGAAGCATTTAAATGCCTCCCCGATCCTTCCAGGCCCCCCTGGCCAGCCGACCTCAGAGTCTCTGGGGGGGGGGGGGTCCTCCAGGCCTTCCCTCTGTAGCCACGCATGCAGAGGTTTTGGCAATAGTGGGCATGACCAACTCTGAAGCCAGCCGGCACTCCGTTCCTGTGCGTTCCTTCCCCAAAATAGCCCTGGTCTTTACTAAATTCCATTTTGTTTGTTCTAGCCACTTGTTTGAAATGGTTTCTATGTGTATTAAACACTGTATTTTTATTATGTCTTCCAAGAAACTTGTTGGGATAGCCCTGTTACTCTTAGGTTATAGTTGCTTAGGGACATTGAAGGCCACTTTAGTGTGCAGGCAATTTAAATTTTGTTTCCGTTATGAGGGAGTGCAGATAGTGAAAGCAATGTTAGAGATGCTCTCATAGGAAGCCAAGAATGTTCAAAGTTCTTAAACATTGAAGCTGATCTGATATATCAGTATTTATTGGAATTTCCTGCTCCTCCAACCTCAGCCATGCGTTTACTTGTCACCATTCTGTGGTTTTCTCATTTAGAAAAGTTTGGAGAGAAATTACAATGTGCCCTGTGAAGAAATGTGTGTGAAATTGCCTTTGGTGCTTCTTAATGGGTAAGGGTTAACAGAAGTGGTATACTTGAGGCCAAACATAAATCTCTTAGCAGATATCCCCCAAACCAGTTGTGGAAGGTTGGATGATGCTCTCTGACCGAGCTAGGAGCTATATTTAAAGCTATCTTGATCCCCTTCAAGCCAATACAATAGTAGCCATTCTTGGGCCAATTCTTTCAATTAAATGGTTTGTGGACAGCAAGTTCTCTAAGTAGGCCAGGATCAAATTAGTTTATTTTACTTAAACATAGGTGTGCGGGGTGGTAGTTGGGACAACTAAGCAAAAATAATAAAAGCCACCCCTCATAAACAGGAGCTGTGCAGCATGTTGAAGACCAAAATATTTATTCTAGCATAAGCTTTCATGGATAAGAGGTCACATGAAAGAATAATTGCTTCTGAAGAAGTGGCTATAACTCATGACATTTTTGTTCTGCTTTGTTCTGTTCTGAGAGCCCGTTTGGTGTAGTGGTTAGGAGCGCAGACTCTAACCTGGGAGAACAGGGTTTGATTCCCCACTTCTCCACATGCAGCTGCTAGAGTGACCTTGGGTCAGTTACAAGTTCTTTCAGAGCTGTTCTCACAAGTGCAGTTCTCAAAAGAGCACTCTCAGCCCCACCTACCTCACAGGGTATCTGTTTTGGTGGAGGATAAAGGGAAGGAAATTGTAAGCTGCTCTGAGACTTCTTCGGGTAGTGAAGGGTGGGATATAAATCCAGTAGATTCTTCTCTCTTCTCTTTAAGGTGCTGCAAGACTTATGTTTAGTTCTGCTATAACAGTATAGTTATCCCTCTGCAGCAACCCCCAGCAAAGCATACAACAGTGTATGAGAGCAAGTGTGGTATAGTGGTTAAGAGTGCTATACTAGTATCTGAGAGACCCAGGTTCAAATTCCCACTTGTGCCATGGAAGCTTGATGGGTGACCTTGGGCCACTCACACTCACCCTAACCTACCTCACTTTGTGTCCTCACTGGGAAGAATGGCAGGGCATAAATTAATTAAATAAATAAACGTAGCGGGGCAGGAGCTGCTTCATGTTTTGATCTTTTGTATTTTTATTTTCTCCTTCCTCCAAGAACCTCTTTCTTCATCCATTTTATCCTTGCTCCAATTATGGCAGGGTGTATTAGGCTGAGAGAACATAACTGACCCAAGATCACCCAATGAGCTTCATATCTACCCACAGGGGAAACTAGTCAAAACGTTAACATGGAAACATAACCTAAATGTGTTAGTGGAGAAATAACAGTAGCCAGTTGGATGTTCTTGCTTTTCAGATATAGAAATAGTGGTTCTTTCCCTTACACTTCCCTTTGTGAGCCAATTGGTAGGCATTTGTATTAATCTAATAGACTACGGTGCGGTGGCTCAAGTGGTTAAGACGCTGAATTGCAGGCTGTGGAAGGTCAGTAGTTCAGCAGTTTGAGACCTGGGCCGTATGGGTAGGGCGGGATATAAATCCTAAGAATAAATAAATAAAAATAAATAAATGATGGAGTGAGCTCCCATCTCTAGTTCCAGCTCCTGCCAACCTAGCAGTTTGAAAGCAAGAAACTGCAAGTAGATAAATAGGTACCACTTCGGTGGGAAGGTAACAGTGTTCCGTGCGCCTTGGTGTTTAGTCATGCCGGCCACATGACCACGGAAACGTCTTCGGACAGCGCTGGCTCTTCGGCTTTGAAACGGAGATGAGCACCGCAATCCTAGAGTCGGATTCAACTGGCTTTCGAGCAAGGGAACCTTTACCTTAATAGACTACTATGAGTCTAATTTAATGAAACTAATGCACTTACTGTTGAAATAGCATTTGCCTGACTAGCTCAAGTGTAATGTTTGAAATGTAGCCGACTCCCCTGCCTTACTTCTTGGCCATCATTGTCCCATTAGTGTGGCCACCTCTCAGATGCAGTCAGAACTGAGGCCACAATGAGTAGCATTCCCTGTCAGAGCAACTGAGCATCCCAACCTCCTTTGCTTGTCCATTTCTTTCCTTATAGTACACAGATGTCTACAGGTTTTGCCTCTGTCCTGCTTTCTCTTCATTTCTTCATCTCCATGTCTCTACCACCTTTCCCCCCTAAGTCTCTGGCTCTCAAGCCATTGTCTATTTCCCCCCTGTATCTTTTAGAAACGAATTCTCTCTTCCTTCCCAGACTATTAACAAATCATACCTTACAGATTCTAAAAAATTTTCATCAGCTCCTCTCTTAATTTTCTTCTTGCCTCCATTCCTGGTCTCCTCCCCTTCTCTTAGTTTCTGTTCCTCAGTCCATTGCTTACTCAGCATCTTTCTTTCAGAGCCCTTGCTACTTTTCAGTATTTTAGCTTTCCAGCCTACCCCATGAAGTGAATTCTGTGTACTGGTCCAATTTTAGTATATGTGCTGTTGAAGTGAGCTCAGGCAATTTCTATTTAAGCTTGGAATCACAGTCAAACTGAGGACATTTCCTTCTCTCACAAGAGTTAGCCTACAAACATTCTGAGTGTACTGACTCATG